TTGCAGTTAATATTTTGTAAAACAAATTTTTGTCAGTTTCAAACTTCTTTGTAGGATAAAGATGAAAATTAATTCAATCATAAAAATATTTGTAGTTTTCCTTAAACTAACTGAGATAATTTACATTTTTTATTCAGAGCTGATGATAGAATAGGTGTGAGCTATATGTTGGGTGTGGGGTCAAAATCAAGCCTGGGCAGAGTAGTGTATGAACAGACAATGGAAAATATTACAGAGGAATCTGAAGGTGCATAGGAATAGTGAAAGTGACCTTACAGAAACTAAGCAAAGTATTAAGACAGGAAAATGTTCCTAGCAGTTCAGCACTTTGTTTCTATGTAATATCTAATCAAATAGAAGACAGAGAATGCCAGACAGTTCTCTTTACAGATGAAGAAGAAACTTGATGTATGTTAAATGTAGTCCTACTGACAAATACTGAGGATACCATGGACTGAACATGTGTTTAATGAAGTTTTTAGAAAAAAACTATAGGCTCAAAGCATATATTTAAAAAAAAAAAATAATTTAAAATTCTCAGTGTTCACTTTCTTTCGTGTAGTCACATCAGTATAAACATCATTTTAGTCCAATGAAGTCCTAGATTTCACTTTGTGTTTGTAGTAGAAATGTGATATATAAACTCTAAATAGCAGAATAATGGTGGGTAGTTGAATGAAAATTGAATAAATTATTTATAATGTGGTTTTTCTGTCAAAGGCAGTTCATCGGACTAAAAACAATGTTTTTTTTTATTGATGGAATTTATATATATATATATATATATATATATATATAAGGGGTGGAAGGAAAAACATTGGTTATATTTATACATTTAGTGGAACACTGATGATGTAGGGACACTAAAAACTTTCAATTTTAGATTTCTAGCATTCAATGTATCTTGGCATAAAAACAAAAGCATGAGGAATCTGAATGAAGTCAGCTAAGACACATTGGACACAAGTAATTTAAAGTTTAATGTTCTTACATATTCAACATTCCCTTTTGATATATAACTATAACCACCGTTTTTGTTTATATTTTCACCACCTCTTTCTGTATATAGATGGTATTTATCAATCCACCCACGAGGATCGAATGTGGCACAAGGCCTTTTTAATGTCGGTATATAGATAGTTCCATCAATAAGAATATATTTTTTAATGTTATGAAGTCCTTTTGAATGACTAAATTAATTACAGAGCAACCCCAGTTCTCAAAGTATCACATGTTGAAGAAATCGGTTTTTGTACAGAAAATTTGAGATGAAAATGCCTCGGTTATCGAACAACATTGCTGAACCGAATTAACACGAACGGAAAAATTTCTGAGTCAATTGCTGTGTTGTATACATTTGTGTGTTTTGCCATGCTTTTCTTTCCTAATTTTATTGTAATGTGACTTTTTTTTTCTCTATATTGATTCCTATTGGAAAAATAGTTTCAGTTTATTAACATTTCAGGTTACAAATGGCCTTTAGAAGCAAATTAAACTCATGAACCAAGGTTCTACTGTATATAGAATGTTTTACATTTTGTCATTCAATTACCTATATATATATATATATATATATATATATATATATATATATATATATATATATATATAATAAATTTACCTTTTATACCAGGAAGTCTGTATATTTTTTATTAAAAAGTATTTATTTATTTTACTTGTTTTCTTTTCAACTTAAAAACTTTCTCTTGTCCATAAAATTTCACTGGTATACTTTTCAAGTTGTCATTTTAAATTAATGTTCTTCAAAATGTTAAAAAGAAAGAATGGTTTGTTCTAGTGCTAGTTCTTTAAGTTCATTATTATTTTGTACAAGAGAGACATGGGAAGAAATTGTTAAGGTGCGATTTCCTGTATATCTGATATTTATTGTCATTCAGGTATTGGCTGCCATTGCTTATTTATGCTTTTCAACAGAAATCCATTAAGCAGGATGAGTGAAATCCAGAACAATTTCCACTGTTTTCTCATATTTTTTTAATTTAGATTTAATCACTTAACTTCTATATTACCTCTCTGAATGTTTTAATTTTAGGTGGAATGCCTTGGGAAAGATGCAAGCAATAATATTTCATTATCTTTACCATTAATTGAAAAGAGGTGATATAAATCTCATTCATTTGTTTAACTAAACATCTACTTTAGATCAGTGCTTCTCAAACTATCTGTTATGGCAGACTGGCATTTCTTTTTTCTCAATGTGTCACGTACCTGTAATATTTCATGGTAATTTATACCAAAAACAATATATATAATGAATATAATAAAAGTTGACTATTTTTTATCTTCCATTTATTTTGCAAAAAATAATTCGATATCAAAACATATAAAAAGTAATAAAAAAATAAGCTTCAAATGATTCCTCAGCATGGCCTGGACACTGGCCACATACTGGTAGCTGATAGTTCGCATATTGGCACCAGTCTGCAGCCTACCACATCGAGTAGCTCTGCTTTAGATATTAATGTACCTTTAACAATATTAAAATATTGTCAGATAAAATAACCTGCTTTGATGATGTTTCCCCAACTGATTAATTTTGATCACTCATAATTCCTTTGTTTTCTATAATTTCTTAAAAGAATTATTCAGTCTACTAAGAATTGTTGGAATTATGTAAAAACTTGATTTATTTATTTGAAGTTCTCTCATTCCTTTTCTTTTGTAAATTAAAATATTTTTAAAAAAAATTAATTTTAAACAATTACCTTCTTTTTTTTATATATATACACTGAATATATTTTAAACATTAATTTCCACTCTTTTGATAAACAAATTCAGTATACATATTTTGACAGCGGAAGGCAGTCGTGAATTTATAAGACTAAATCACAAACATTTCAAAATAACCTCTTTCAAAAATACCCTTATGTTAGAACAGGCCATGGCACAGCAAGTAGGTAAAAAGTATTCAATCCTAATTGATCATTGTTTTTCAATGTACTATTATGTATGAAGACAAAATGCATTTTTATTGATCCATATTGAAGTACAATATTAGGATCTATGTTGTTCAACAGAAGAAATCTTTATAAAGACTGTAAGTAGAGCTTTTTCCTGTAAAGCTAAAAAGTTCTTATGAAAATAGATTTAATTTCATACAATATGTTTTAGGAAAATCTATGACAAACTGGAAAATCTTTTTGTGTGACACGTTTTATCCTTTAGACTAAAGGGAAGTTTATGTTGACAAAGGAACAGGGAATTTAAGTTTGAAATTTTTTTTTTTAAATATGTATTTTGGTTATATAGCATAGCCAATTTCATTTAGATTTTTTCTTTTTCTTTGTTTCCATGACTTTTGTTATTAAACATCCCACATTGTAATAACAAAAGATCTGCCAAGAATGATGAAATATTTTTGAACCTGGATACAAATTGATTGTGGATGATCTAGCAATTCTAGATTTTCATAAAATTACTCTTGTTATCTAAAAATTTATATATATTGTTTTCCCATACAGTATGTTATAAATGAGTAAATTGGTAAGAGGCAGTGCAGAATATGTTTCTGAAAAATACTATTTTTTTTAGTTTTAACAATATTTAGCACAAGTGCAATGTGTTTGCTATAAATGTGTAAGTGAAAACAAGATGCTTACAGCATTTTCAAAATGTCACTTTCTCTGAAACAATGTGTATAACACAAAATCATTCCAATTAACTTTAGAATTGTCAAAGATATCTAGAAACAATTCAGAATTTACAGATCTATTCTTCTATGTACCATGCCCCTTCAGAATGTTGGCAGTCATGGCTCTCCACAATTTCCTGTCCTTTGTAAGTCATAGTAAATTTTGTCCTTTGCTATCTCTCCTAAATCATTTTCTGCTATCCATTTATACAAGCTTGTTAGGAAGGTTATGCACTGTTTTTCTCTGTTACTTTGCCTTCAATATGTCCTGTGAGTGTCAAATTCTTCAAACCCTCTTTCCTAATGATATACTCAAGAAATTTCAACTGCTTTTTTTGATTCTTAATGTCCTTTTTGTTTTCATTTTCTTTAAAACTTTGTCATTGCTCATATGTTCATTGTATTCTCAGTATTCTTCTGTAGAATCACATTTCTGTTGCCTCAAGTCTTTTCTTCATCTGAAATTGTGCAACATTCAATGTCATATACAACGATTAATATTGCATAACAGTTAAGTTCTATTTTCTTTCTTTCTAACCAAAATTTCCTGTTTCTTAATACTTTGCTTAGATTTTGGAAGGCATCTTTCACTATCCCAATGTGACTATGGATGTACATTTTCTTAAAATTCAAAAGTAATTTTTATTGTTGGTTCTATCAGTAAAAATTAATTGATGCAATATGAAATGGCACAAGGCTGAAAGTAGGGGGCACCTAGTAAGGATCAAACTAAACAGCTGTTGATATACTTAGTTCAGTATTTGATTAAAATTTGGCCACTATCTTCCATTTTTCTAAACTCTGTTCCTTTATTGTCCTTTCTTTACTTTACCTCACTAAAGTCTTCTCATGCTCTTTCACTCCTTGTAACCTAGTGGCATTATTACCTTGCTTGGGGTGAAATGGACATCAATGGTCACAGATTTGCATCGAACAGCGACCCTTGAGATTTCCAATTAGATAAAAAAAAAGAAAAGATATCGTTTTTTATTCAGGTATTTTACATGATAATTATTGTTGTCTAGTTACAGCAACACTTTCTTACCTTTTGAGCTATTTTACTGAGCAATAAAGGTTTTGCTAATTGAGTATGTTGAGTCTAAACCTGTGCTCAGAATTCTCCTAGCCTAGCACATCAGGATTTTGTGTTATGCACATGATTGGAAAGACCTCTTATATTAATTGTATTGAGCAGCAAAAAAAAAAAAATGTCTGGTACCCAGACAGATATTGTACAAGACTAAATTTAGTACATTGATTCCAAATCTGTGATAATGATTGTCCTAGGATATCAGGTTTTTGTGCATAGCACATAGAAATTCAAAGTAATTTTAAAAAAAATTTTTTTTACGGCCACATCACATTGAAACAGTGGCTCCTGTACAATCACCAATGTTAAGCAACACTGAACCTGATCAGTACTTAGATGGGTGACCCCTTGGAAATACCAGGTGCTGTAAGGGATAATCGCTTGGAATTAATTGGAGTGCTGAATTCCAATTCCAGTTAGGTTTGTTGTATTCACTTATGCACAAATACCCTTGGGAAAGGTATGAATTCACTTCTTCTCCCCCCAGCTATGGGTTAATTAAACTTTTATTGCTAAACCATTATTATCTCAAAAAAATAAATAAATAAAATTGCATACAAAATATTTAAATTTTGGCATTACATAATCCATAAAGGTTGATATGCTGCTAAATAAAAACAACAAACCAACAACCTCAAGCAAGTCAATAAAGTAACTAAGCCACAAGAGTGAAGGAAATTGAGAAAACTTTGATGAGGAGAAAGTACAATAAAAAGGACAGGATGCAAGGAGACAAATGATGATTGATGTTACATTTAAATTTTTAAAGATCGTAGTTGACAGGGAAGCAAGAAACTGGAAAGGAATTCCACAGGTGGGATGTGCAAGAGGAGAAACCATCATAATAGAATGTCTACTTATACTTAGCAATTTCAACAATACAATGATGAGACCTAGATGCCTAGGATAGGTTGTGCTTGTTCTACTGTTCATGTCTGGGGAGATCTTTTTTTTAAGCTCAGTTGTTATTTCTTTCTTTTTATGTGCCATGTCCTTTCAGGATGTAGGCAATCATGGCTCCCCACCTCCCTCTATCCCTTGCAGCTCTTAACAAGTTACTTCCTTCTGCTTTCTTCCCCAGACCACATTCTGTCATCCACTTGCTTAAGCTCACCAGGTATATCACACGCTGCTTTCCCTTGTCTCTCTTTCTCTCTATTCGACCTGTGAGTGTCAGATTCTCCAGGCCCTCCTTTCTCATTATATGTCCAAGAAACTTCAGCTGCCTTTTCCTGATGTTAAGTATAAGCCTCCTCCTTGTTTGAAACCTCTCTAAGATCTCATTGTTGCTCACACGCCCAGTCCCTGATATCCTTAGCATCCTTCTGTAGAACCACATCTCTGTCACCTCGAGTCTCTTCTTCATCTTTGAGAAAACTGTCCAACATTCACTGCCTTAAAGAAGGACAGAAGTCACATAACATTCTTTTCTTTTCTTTACTCATCCTGTTTCCACTTAGTCTGTACTACTCTACCCAGAGATTGAACTCACAATTACTAGGCCACCAAAATCAGAATCAACTAGGTCCTATGGTAAAATAGCCTAGTGGATTAAAGCTTTGGTTTGTGAATTTATGGGCACTAATTGTGAGTTCAATCCCTGGGCTAGGTAGAATGGGCTTAGACTTGGTCTAAACAGTGAGTAGTAACAGAGCAGTACTGAAAAGGATTAGACAAGATATTCCCAGATATGGGTAGGAGAATGCGAACAATCTATCCCTGCAGATTAATTAAAGTGTTCAGTTCATAAGTCCTTGAAGGTTACCCAGATGGACAGGCACCTGAAGAAGGTTAGTGGACACAGGGAGGATAATAACAAAGATGAGGATATTCGTCCAAATATGAATAATTTCTGAAGATATCAGAAATAAATATTGTATTTATTCAGTTACTTTATTATTATCAAAATTGTCCTTGAACATAAATATGCTCCACATATATCTTACAAATCTTGACATGGTAAGACAATTTTGAGTACAACTTTAGAATCAGCATGATTTAGACTCTTAATTAATTCATTTATTCATTTTCTACAGCTTATTAACCCTTTGCAGGTTATTTAAAGCCAGAAAATATTTTTTGGTTGTAAGTTTTTTTTTTTTAATAATGGTTTAAAGATACATTACTAATTAACCCATAGATGGGGGATAAGAGGTGGATTCGTACCATTCCCAAGTATATTTCTGCATAACAAACCCAACGGGAATTGGAACTCAGCTCTCCAATTAATAATTCTGAGCCATTATCTATTATACCGTACTCATATCCACACTTACAGCACCTGGTATTCCCAAGTCATCCATTCAGGTATTTACCAGGCTTAACCGTTGCTTAACTCCAGTGATTATATGAAAACCAGTGTTTCAACATGATGTTGCCATAAACTGATTTAGTCTAGTATGGCATATTTTGTCTGAGTAGCAGACAAAAGGTCTTCTATTGATTTTGCAGGTCTGTCTTGTATATTTTGGCAAAATACCTGTTTCCTAAAAAAAGCAAAACCAAATTGATTTGATTTCTTTGATTTTTTTTTTCAAAGTTAATTAGATTTAATTTTTAGAAGTTAGAGATTTGAATATGCTAAACATCCCTAAAAATAAAGACTTAACACTGAAGCAAATGGAATTTCATTTACAATCAGTAGATAAGATCAAAGTGTATATTACACAGAACTGTGCCCATATTGTTTGTAAATGTTATTCATATTTAGATATCACCCATGCTTAAGAGTCGATCATTGCATAATGGAATGAAAGAACAGATAACTCAATCATTGTTCTTGGATTCTTGAGCTGATAAGCTGGATTTGGATATACAGCCACGGGAATTTCTAGTGGGCTTGTTGAACTGTTTTGTGAAATACAAAAACTTTAGTTACAGAATGTCCCAAGTATGATGATAAGCTTCATCTGGCAGCAAAGCCTCTGATCGGGAGATTGGAGGCTTTGAGGAGTGTGGAACCACCTCTTAATTGCTGTTGTTCCCAGGATAGTAGCACCTGTTAGGGTCCCAGCTATGGGCAAATAGTGAACTCCCAAACAAAAACAAAACACTATGAAAGTGGAAAAATACAATTTTATGGTGAAGATGCCAGCAATACATTTTTATATAAGAAAAAATTACCAACAATACATAATTATAGTAAAATTTCAAACAATATATTTTTAAAGTAAAATGACAATCAATAAATTTTATAGTAAAATTACCAACAATACGTTTTATAGCAAAATGACCAAAATACATTTTATCTGTAGTTGAAGCCATAAAATTGCATTCAAAGTATATTTAGCTGAAGCCATAAAATTGTGTTCAAATTATTTAAATTTTGGTATTAAATAACCCATAGAGGTTGATATACCACTAGACAAAATCAAACATCCACCAAACAGTAATGTGGATTGTTCAATTTAATCAAATGCTTGAAATTATCAATCACTTTATGTAAGATTTGTTATAGAAATAAAAGATTTGATTTATTTACACTTGGTATAATGAGACATTAGAGAAACTAAAAAGCAAATTGTCAACAGTATCACATTTTTAATTTTCAATAATTTTTGCTGGGACTCTTAATAAGTGTCAGGGCTAAAATCTGCATTTCTGTATTGTATTTGAGGCTAGGTAAATTCTGAGATTTTTTCAGGGCCATCATTTGTAAATTTGTACCATCTGCATGGTATAAATATTTAGCTTTTATGTGTATTTGTCAAATATCTAGCCATTATAACAGGTGATAAATATATTTGGTCAGTTAATAGGAGATGAAGGTGTTTGGCTAGTATATAGTTGCAAATGAATGTATTTGATCAGTATATATATTTTGAGATGGTATATAATTGAAGATGAAGGTATTTGATTAGTATATAGTTGGAAATTAAGTTATTTAAAATAACAAATGTGTACAGTAATTTATCTCTTTTTAAAAAAATCCCAACTGAAATGTATGTTTAACAGAATTTTTTTTTTCTTTGGGAATTGATTCCTGTTGGTGTCTATTTTGCTTTTTGATCTCATATTTCCACCATGTCATTTATTAATTTTGATGCTTGGTTCCCTCTGATTGGCTTTCTGACAAATGATTCTCCATTTTAAGGCCTGCAATTCTGCTTGACTGAATGAAGAATCATTTTCTGCCTGGTGACTAATGTAAATTATATGGCAGCTGTATTTGCCAGTGATTGGCACTCATTCAAAATCACACTTTCTGCTACTCTCATTGAACTCTGTAGAAAACTAACATCAGAATTCACACCTGGGATTGATCACTTTGGGCCACTAAACAAGCATCATTTTCCTTTTGTTAAATCTTGAATGTATTTGCTTATTCAGCATTTTTTATGCTTGACATTCACTACACATGATTAACAACTTTTCTTTCATTTTGCCTAGGGCAGTAGTTCTGTCATGAAATGGTTGATTAGAAAGAAATGATATTTTTTATTTTTACTTGCTGAGCTTTGTTAATAAAGATAGCTTTCAGGCAATTTGGTTGGAAGATATTCGACTAACTCTGACATTTAAAAAAAAATGATTTTTTTTTTTTTTATTAATGTCCTATAACTAATGCTTGAAGTGCTAACATCTAATCTAATTTGAGATTTTATATGAGCTTCATTACCAAATGATTATCTGTTAACTAAAATCTATGAATGGAATGAATGCAGGGTTGTTCAGTTAATGATATGCTTTTGTTCTATTGACATTAGGAAATTAGTTTCTTAACCTTTTTTTTTTTAACTTTGTTTCTACTAGCTTAGTTTTTACACAAAATTCTACAAATTGTACTTTTTTTTTTAACTAAATGTTAAGCAGTTGAATAAATGCTTTGAAAATGTCTTAACAGAGGATGGAAAATGTGACACTGAAATCTGAAGGTGCATTGGAATAGTGAAAGATGCCTTCCAAAAGCTAAGCAAAGTATTAAATCAGAAAATTACATTAGAAACAAAGAAAAGAGTGCTGAACTATGTAATATCGCTCCTTCTATATGGCAGTGAATATTGGACAATTTCACTACAGATTATGAGGAAAGATAAGAGAATGTAGAAATGTGATAATCCAGAAAAATGTTGAGAATTCCATGGTTGTAGGAAGTTTTAAGGAAAATGAAAATAACATTTATAGTTAGAATCAAAAAGAGACTGTTGAATTTTTTTTGGACACAGAATGAGGAAAGAGTGATTGGAGAATTTGACATTCACAGGACATACTGAAGGTAATCGGGACAGGTGGAAATGGCAAGTAAACTAACAAGTTTGTGTAAATGGGAGGCAGAACAGGGAGTGGGAGGAATAGTAAAAAAGACAAATTTTGCTATGAGCTGCAAAGGATAAGAAACTGTGACAAAGCCATGACACCTATGTCCTAAAG